TCTGCATAAAGATCAACATAATTAGCCAAGTCAATTGCCAGAAATCTCAGGCACAGCTGATTTCTAAAGTTTGCTTTGGAAAATGGACAAAGAAAAAGAGAATATTGAAATTAAAGTAGACTCAGAGAGCAAAGGCACATTTGTCTGCCGTGCGATTCTTTCCTCAAGTGTGGTGATATCTTAGTTAATGCGTTTACACATCTGAGTGATAAATAAGGGAAAGAGAACTATAGCCGTACATGTCACTGTTAGTTTGGAATTGTCGTGTTTTAAAAAAAAAAATTGTTTATATTGTGATTTAAGAATAGTCAGCTGTAAAATAAAAAAGTTGAGCGTTTGATAAATTGTATTTTTAAAAGTATTTTGAGTATGAAAAACAATGTAAAAACATTTAGTAAAATTTGATATAAAAGTGACACGATTGGTATACAATGACAAAATGAACATAGTAGTGGGGGTGATAGCAATGCCAACGGTGGCGGACAGAATGGCAGTGGTGGTGGCAATGGTAGTGATGGTAGCAACAATGGTTGGAGTATAGTGGTGGTGCCAATAGTAGAGTGCAGTGATTGAGGCATAGAGGTAACAATAGTGGTAAGGCAGCATCAATTGCAGTGGTGGTGGGTGTGGTGGCAATAGATGTGATTGTGGTTATGGTGGTAGTAGTGGCGGCAATGTTGGTGGTTGTGGTGGCAGTGTGATAATTGTGTTGATGGCAAGCGTGGTAAAGGTTGGAGTTGTAGTAGTAGGTGTTGGCGGTTAGTTTGTTCTTCAAGAGATAATTCTAAATTATTTTAGTTTATCATGTCTTAATTAGTTACATCACATTACCTAATGTTCTTGTTCGAAGCTTCCTCTTGACTTTGGAGTTGGTCCAATAAACCTCAAATGGAGTAGTGCTATTTTTTTTTTTTAATAAATGGTATATTCTATACTAAAGGAGAGGGAGATAACTTAGTCTCACAATGGGCTAGCAATAATATAGTTCAAATTCACCTTTAGTAAGAATCGAACCTAAAACCTTTTGCTTACAAGTGAAGAGGAAAATTATTAGACTGTAGTACTAAGTGACAATGGGTAGTGCTATTTGCAATACGTAAAGGAGAAGATTCAAGATTCGATAGTATTTCAGCTAGAGTAGTGTGGAACTTATCATTTTCAAGATCGTGAACTTTATGAGTTTATCTGGCTTGTTATTTGTTGAGGAATTTTGATCTAGGTGCTTGATTTTAAATTTGTTAGACCAAACATTCCTAGCTATTAGATTTTTTTTATTAAACTATTATCTACAATTTTGGTGTCACGTTTGTCAAACTGTCCTCTTTCTAAAAAAATTAGATGATTTGCCATTAATCCATCAATTTATTCCAAAAATAAGATTCAAGGCTCCTTGCCTTCTTTAAAACAAAAATATTAATTATTATTATTAATTCAAAACAAAGAGAGATAATTATTATGTTATCTTTGATTAAAAAAAAAGATGGAAAACTAATGAAAAAGATTTCAAATCTTTGCATTTTAATAAAAAATCATATATTAACTTTATTTAATAATAAAAATTAAAAAATTAAAAAAATCCAAGTGGCGCTTAGCGCGCGTCCCTCACCCCCAACCAAAAACCCCCAAAACTCCCATCAAATAATTTCACGTCCCGAAACCCCCCACCACCCCCCCCCCGGGGGGGGGACGCCTCAGCTCATCTCTCTCATTCTATTTCAACAACTCAAGTCTCTCTCCCTTCTCTCTCTCTAGAATTTTTTTTTTTTTTTGAGAAACAAAGATGCTGAGTCGCTGTGAGATCTGTTATGAGATTCTTATCGTAATTTTGCTCCCTTCGCTGGGCGTTTGTCTCCGGCACGGCTGCTGCACCATAAGTCCCCTTTCTTTCTCCTCCGTCTTCTTCATCTTCTGGTGGCAGATTTGATATTATTAATGGTGAAAATTGAAATTTTGGATTGGTGGTGGGCCCAACTACTCCTAACCAACTATCAACAAATTGCCTCTGTTTTTGCTTATATGGCTGACAAGTTTTTGTTTGTTTTTCGTTTCGGTGCTTCAATTTTTTGCTATGATTTTTTATGCATTGGACGTGGACATGTGAAGAGGAGAAATTTGTGCACACAGTACGAATAAGTCATTACGCTGATGATTTGTGACAAAAGGATAGATATATGTGTATATTTTTATAAACAATGTCGTTAAGTTTCATAAACAGTATCGTTAAGTTTCATAAACAGTAGTAAGTTTCATAAACGGTGTCTTAAAATTTAGGTTCTTTTGTCATTTTTATTAATAATAAAATCATGTCCCTTTCATTAAAATTTAAGTTCTTTTGTCATTTTTATTAAAATTTAAGGGGGGTTTTCATTAAAATTTAAGTCTTTTTAATTAAATAAAATTATAGCATGGTTTTTTATTAAAACAAACTTAGTCCAAGCCATTTTCATGAAAGTTTCCAAAAAAATAAGCTTTTTAGTCAAAATAGTCCTAAAATTTGTATAACTCCTCACTTTGGTCTTTGAGATTTGAAATCGATAAAATTGGTCCCTGAAATTGTCCACAATCAATCATTTTGGTCATTCCATGAAAAATCTCTATTAAACAAGAATAAAATGACAAAGATACCTTCAATTTTTGTCAAATCATTTTGGCCTACTATTTATTAAATTGATGATATTTTTGTCATTTTGATCCTTATTTAACATAATGTTTCATGGAATGACCATAATGATTGATAGTGAACAATCTTATGGACCACTTCTATTGATTTTAAATTTCATGAACCAAAGTGATGAGTTATGCAAATCTTAAATACCATTCTGGCTAAAAAGCCAAAAAATATTATGTTATCAATCTATTGTGTACCAAAAACTAAATCAAACCTAAAAAACTAAAATTAAACGTACCGAACACTAAAGCATGGACGTACCAATCAATGATATATACAAAATTGAATGTACCAAATATAAAAATTAGATGTACCATTCGATAATACGAACAAAATCAACGTAAGAAAACGAACAATAAACGTACTAGTAATGTATACAAAATTCTCTCAATAAAATATATACATAATAATTTAAAAAATAATAAGCATCCACCATTTTTGTTACATAAATCAATTTTTTGACAAGTTGCTTGTAGCTGAGTGTTTTGACCTCGAAAAGTGCTACGGAAAAATATAAAAACGAGATAATTGGATAAATATTTTGAATGAAAAACTAAGATTCTCTCCTTAAAAAAGAGTCCACAACACCTAAAATACTTTTAAAAAAAGTTGGTAGAAAAAAAAATCTTCCAACTAAATAAAGCACAAATTAAGAAATCAATATATAAAACTTTTATTTCAAATATTACAATAATGTTGTAGGCATAATTTACTTAACAGGCCATAGAGAGAGAAAGGTGCGGCAATGGAGAAGAAGAAGAGAGATGCGTAATTGTGGGTGTGTTTTATTTCATCTCATTGTGTCTTTATTTATAGTAGTAGGAATGGTTAATTCCTTTCCCTTTAGAATTACAACATTTACTAAGTAATCTACTCCAAATAGAGAATACAAGAGATATTCCAAAATATACTAGGATTTACACAATCACATTGCCTCTAATAGGACTGCAACAAATAATAATTTTTAATTTAATAAATAGAAAATGATTATGTGACGTAATGTACATAAACGTCTTAATCAAAATCCTAAAAGGCACATATGTTTGATAAAAGAACTTTAAATTTAAGCGTTTAAATCCAATTACGCCTCATTTGTTAGATAGATTTTCTCCAGTACTTAGCTATTTCGTGCCCTACTCACAATGGGAAGCTTGACCCTACGAAAAAGGGGAAGTTAGATGGTAGTGTGCATGCAAAGTGCAAACATTACTTTAGTTAAGTTAACTAGAAAAATCTTTTGCACCCAAATTTAAACTCTTATTTTTGTAGTTTAAATGAATTTAGTGATAAGTTGCTTCGTTCAGTATAGAGCATTTGATTGAAACGAATAAACGTATAAAAGTAGACGACAATAATTTTTCATTTTGAGAGAATTAGACACGAAGAAAATTCTCCCTTATTCTCGGGAAACTTTTAAGGATACCCCGGTATCCAAGCTGACTTGGAGTACCGACCCAATTATAGATAGACACCTGGTCTGCTTTCTTCTTCAATTAAAATAATCTCTCTAACCGCGAAACGGTGGGCTCGATAACTGAAAAGATAAGGCTGGCCGTATGACCGAGGAAGATATGCATCTGAAAATTGCTTTGGTACCGTCGTCATGGTCTCCGACTGCATCTGAAAAGATAAGGCTATCCATGCTTATGTGAAGTTCCCGGCTCGTTGAAAAATTTCTCCTTATGATTCTTTTATTTTGTAAAGGCTTCGGAATCGATAAATTTTCTTCTTGGTTAATCCATCTCCTACCTCTAGTTGATCACAATTTTTCCATTTCTACCTCAACATGCCCCAACAAGAATGTTATCTGTTTCAATCTAATCTTCTATTCCAGACGAAGCCCAAATATATTGACTTCATAGTTCAACCTGAATTAGGAAGCACACCCCACACACCACAGTAAAAGTTGACCAATTCATTGTTAATTTTTTTTCTAACACCACCTCAGTGGTACTGGGAAATTTTGTTGAGACGGAAAAAGAAGTTGCACACTTTTTTTTTTTTTTTTTGAGTACATCGATACATTTTTACATTAAGAGGAGAGAAATCGGCTAAGCTACACAATGAGCAACATAATTTGGTGTTAAATTCGTTATCCATGAGATTCAAACTTAAAACCTCTCACTTCTAAGTGAAGAGGAATACCACTCGACCGCAGTACTGAGTAACAAAAGAAGTTAACACATTTGACTGATATGTTACCGTAGGATTCAAACACATGTTGATTTCCGTGGGGTTAAATATTCAAAACAGAATCATATGAAATTGAACAAGAAACAGAAAAGATGGAAAGCTAACACAAGACAATACGTATCAATTTGTGGAATAAAAGAGCAAGAAAATGACCTGATTTTCTTTTTATGTTGCTTCATTTGTTTGCCAATCAACCAGAAAGAAGGGGGGATGACTGATGAGAGTAACAAATATCATGGAACAGGAAAATACAGAATTAAAATGCATATCATCCATCAATCCTACATTAAAATTGCAATCTCAACATCCCACATCAAGAACCTAAAAGAGTATAAACAGCTACAAGTTTCATGAAAACAGCCGAGCCACCCAACGGCAGGCATTTTAGTAACGGTCAAAGGACGATGGGCGCCCTCCCCTGCTAGGGCGGTCATAAGGACCTGGCCTGCTTCTGTAATTGTCGTCTCTCGCAGGCCCTCCACTAGCATATCTGTCGCCTCCTCTTGGGCCACCGTCCCTATCATAGCCTCTATCTTTGCCATAACCATTCTGAGGGTAACGATCAGAACTACCGTACCTGTCACTTGCAAAACGATCACCAGCTGGGTACCTACAAGGAAATGAGAGAAAGTTGAGGTAAAATGGATTTTGTTTGTTATTATTCAGAACAATCATAAGTGAGAAAGGAACAATTGATAAAGCAGTCACTAATACCTGTCACTAACATAGCGATCACGGCTCCCATATTTGTCATCTCTGCTGTCAAAACGGTCCCTGTCTCCATAGCGCCCTCCATCATAACGATCATCCATGTAGCGACCTCGGTCTCCACCAAAACGATCCCCACGGCCACCAGCCCCAAACCTAGAATGTGATGAAAATGAACCCCCACCACCTCTTCCACCACCTGCCGAAGGGCAATCTCGGGCCCAATGTCCTGGTCGCCCACACTTGAAGCATTCATCTTGTCCAACAGGTCTATCCCCTCCCCCATAGTTTCTCCTGTCACCAGACGAGTAACCACCGGCTCTATAGCCATGGTCAGAATCCTCTCCTGCTCCTCCCCCTCCCATTTTGGGTTGAGCTTTGTTCACAGAGATTATGCGATCACCAAGCTCCCGCCCATGCATCTCCCGGATTGCATCTTCCATTGCTCGCCGATCCCCAAATGTAATAAAACCAAAACCTCGGGGTCGGTTTGTATCTCTTTCCATCATGATCTATAAAAATACCACATTAGCCATTTCATATAAATGAAATTCATCTATATTAACCAAAAGTGAGACAATAATCTATAAACTACTCCCAGGAGTTCACAACCAGGAAGTAAACGCAACTTGCCTCACCCAGCCAGAGATCAATTGCTGAGAAGCTGGAAGAAGAATTAATAGACAGGGAACACAGAATACGAACACAAGATTTGAGAATGAGATATGAATTAGCAATGTATATTTAGCACACATCCTAACTGGTAATTAAATTTAACAAATTGATAACTTACTTTCTCTTCGTTACTATGGATAACAGATTGAACCTTGTTTCAAACTGAAAAATTTCTGATAACTATAGAGGAATCACTTCTGATCTTGACTTCTCACAAAATCCAATAAACTAGATCCAGCATAAACTGCTACCTACCCACCACAAAGTCAAATGCATCTACTCTCAAACAGTAACATTCAAATTCAATTGGTCATCGGTGCTAGCAGTGTCTTTGTGATATGGTTAACTTCTCACTGATCCTTAATCCCAACATGACTACCAGAAATTACAATATTACTACACACACCAGGCAAGCATCCATCTTGTATTCACAAAAAGAACGTTCTCCCAAATGTGCAATTGCAATATTTGATCTTTCCACTATTCAAAACAAGCCACATAGCACACAAAAAGATATCAAGGTGTCCTAAAAAACTGTGTTCATTTTGCAGACCATAACCAACTCGATCCATAATCACTCATTCTCATAGCGTTTCATTAAGTTCGTAAAAGAAACAAAAATTTGTCAAAGACAGCAAAGATGCTCCATCCAATTGTCAGCTCAAAATAGCAGAACTGTTGAAAACGCTGATTATCTCTTTCAACCAGAAAATTTAGACCTACTAAACTCATAAAAGATACCCCAGAGCCATGGAGATCCACGTTCTGACAACCTTTTTTGATGGAGGATGTTCTGACAACTTTTAAGTACTTGCAATTATCAGACCACTGCCCACTAAAAACTCAACATCACTGTGCCCAAAGATGAAATGCCAACGGGTAGAAAGAGAGAGAGAGAGAACAAATGTGTGCGCATGCCCATACCAAGACTCCAACTTGGAACAGATTCAGATTTTCGGATACTGAGGTGGCCAAAAGTACTACTATTACAACACCAAAGTTATCATATCTTAAATCAATACTGGAACTACAGATGAGCTAAGCAGCATCCATATCTGGTGTAGTGTTGATGTTGCTGAATTCATCTTGCCAAGCGAACCTCAATTAAACACTGTTTCTGGAATCTGAAAAGACTGCTAGTGATCCGGATGATGTCTCATGAGATCCACTGAATGGATAGCATAAATGTGCTCACAAGTGAAGTGACAAGACCAAAAGTGTGTTGGAAGCTTCATGATATATGTAAATAACTCTACCAGGTTTAGATAGTTGAGTTCAAAACGCACTAGATAAACTTATTGCATAGAATATTTGACTATGAAAATCTTTTGAAACCCCTTAAAAAAATTAATAAATTTTAATAAAAAAAAAAATGGACTAGTTTGAAAAATAAGAAATTCAACTCAGAAGGCTGAAAAGAAGGCTCAGACTTCATGAGCACTCCACAATAGCAGGATGAGAGGACCTCATTGACACGCAGTTTGGATTGATTAATTCAGACTTGATTCTTTGCAGCCTCATCCAATCAAACTCAGAGTTGACATCTAGCAGACCTCCAATCATAACTAAAAGATCAAGTATCAAGGATATGACATATCTGAAGAACAACTAACAAGAGACAACAAAACTCTCTGATTTAGCAGTCGTTAAGAAAACTGCATAACCTATATGACAACAAATGACGAGTTGACAGTATATAAACTTCTGAATTCTATGAGAATCAAAAAAAAAAAAAAAAGAACAAAGGAACATAGATGAGGACACCCTATTCAGCTGAAAATGCTCTCAGAAAACAGACACATCCTTCACTATCGACAAGTTTGAGTCCAACCAATACGAAATATGGTCAAACCGTTGAGAGCATTAGTTCTAATAAGATAAAAACCGTTGTTGAAGCAAAAGAAAAAACATCCCTTGATCAAACAATAACCAAGTCAAACTTAGGCTGCAGAGCCACAGAATCCAAACAGAAACATACTTCCTACAAAAAAGATAACTTCTCAAAGTTGTCATATCTTGTGAGTTGATGATGAGTCGGCCCACCCTCAAAGCCTTACTTATATACCGAAGTTCCAAGACTATCACAACCACAGATCTTTTCATCAATAAAACTTGTGGATCCCAACCACAGATCTTTTCAACAGTAAATCTTTGTACAGCAGATGAGACTAAGCAAGCAGTTAACTGGGCTACCTTGAACTCAATTCCACACATCCAGATACCATCTGCCTGTTTAATACTTCCTGCCTTGATATTTCTTAATCATCAGCTATAACTAGTCCCAAAAAATCACATCAAGCTTCAGCAACTCGAAGCAATCACTCAAACAAAAATATCTCTACGAAAACCCATATACGTACAGCATCAAAAGATCATAACCGGCATTCCAAAAAGACATGAAAACAAATAAGGAGAATTAATACACAGTGAGGACAACAGAAACTATCGAAAGAAAAGGATAAAATCAAAATAAACATAAGTAATCGTAGTTACACATGTAGAATTAATATCAATGCTCCTTGTAAATGTACTATCAAAGATATGCTGAGGTCAGAATCACACAACTGACAATTAAATATCTCATTACATAGTTTATTTGTTTCATTTGATTTCGCTCAAGAAGGGCACTTCATACGGAAAATGATAGGGTAAAACAAGCTCATGGAAAATCGATAATCAGGATCAATCAAACAAGTAATAAACATGCAATATAGCCATAGAAAACCACTGTCTAAACTTCCTACCTCCAACCCAAAAGCTTCCGTGAAAGTTCAACCAATTTGTACTTCAAATATCTTGGGCAGGCAGGATATAAAGCTAATTCAAACAAAAGGCCCGAAACGACGAAATTTTTTTACTGTTTCTTCTAAAATCAACTAAATCTATGTATAGGGTCAAACTATAGCCTCAAACTGACTAAAAAATTTGGGGCTTTTTCACCTCTTAAAACCCTAAATTCAAATTTGTTTCATACCAACAAAAAAAATAAAGTAAAACGATTAGATCTTTCCATATAGTTTGCAAGCAAAGTAAAGCAGCTGAAACCCAAAAATACATGCCCTCTTTCAATTGACACAATTGGCAGACAAATAGGATTGGAAACAATTAGGGTTCATATACAATTATGATTTGACTGGATGATTAAGCATCGAAAAACAAGCAATCCAAAAAAATTGAGGGCACCTGAGCTTCAAGAACTTTGCCGAAACGTTGGAAAGCGCTCTCCATCTGACGCTCCGTGACGTCCCACGACAACCCGCCCACGAATATTCGGTACTCTTCCTTCCCTGCCATCTCTCTCTCTCTCTCTCTCTCTCTCTCTTTCTCTCTCTAGTCTACTGTGTGATGAGCCAAACCCTAACCGCTTCGTACTCTTGTATTCTATGCTGCTACTTCGATTATTCCCTTTTTACTATTTTGGGTTATTTATTAGTATGCCCCTGTACTTGGATGAAAATCTCACTTTATCCCTCTAAATTTGCAACTGAATCACTTTCACCTGGCCTCATGTTCTTTCATCTCGCCTATGTGGCATGGACACGTTGGTAAGTATAGTACGAGTTTTAAAATTTAAATAAAACTAGATTAATAAAACTATGGATGAATTATCAATTTAATTCCTGAATTCTTATTTCAATGAAAATTAGGTCCCTAAACTATTTTCTTTTTTCTAGAAAAATCAATTATTGAATTATAAAAATCTGCCAATTAGATCCCTAATATTATTTTCGAAGCTACTATATTAAATTTTCCATCAATTTAAGTCACATTACTTGCATGTGATTCACATTGGATGGTAGATTAGTAGTTTTTCAATAAAGAAATAGTGTATGAAGTTAACTTTAGAGGGTAATTGATAGTTTTTCATAAGAAATAGTGTAAGTTAATTTTGCAGTGTAAATTAGACGTTATATTAGCAACCTAACCCTCATCTTCCACCTTACACCACATTTATTTAGTGTGTTTTTTTAAGTTTATTTGATGAGTATGTAATTTTATTTTAGTGTGTATTTTTTTAAAGTTAATTTGAAATTTTATCCGAAATTGGTTATCTTATCCGAAATAAACTTAAAAAAAAAAAACACATCAAATAAATGCGCTGGGTGCCAGCGCATTTTTTTTAGGGGTGGAGATGCCTTGGCCTATTACTGTTCACTATAGTATATTACTGTTTACTTGAGTGGATAAATGCGCTGGGTGCTGGCGCAAAGTCCTTAGGGGTGGACTTGCTCTAAGGATGGGAGGGCGTAAAGTACTTTTGGTAAAGCTTTAATGATCTGCTGGAAAATCTGGAATGACAGAGATGGTATAATTTTCAGAAGCAAGAATCGTATTTGTAATGTAACCGAACTTACATTAGGGCAATGTCGGTTGCAAATGAGTTCTTTAAGGAAAATGTCATTTGTAGTGTTCGAGTAGGAACCACGAGTCCGAGTGACATTACTAAATGGTGTAAGCCGTCTCCTCCCTTTGTTAAAATCAATTTTTATGGGTCGGTCATTAACTCAGTTGCAGTTGGAGGTTTTGTGGTTAAGATTGAGCTGAGGAACCCTCTGATTGCAAGAGCTTAAACTTGGGCCATAATACCATTAATGTGGTTGAGGCCTTAGCACTCCAGGAACTATCTGCTGGGCCAAGAGGAAGAATTTATCTCATATTATCGTCGAGGACGACTCAAAGGTGATTATTGATGTTGTTCAAGGGAAGTGCGAGATGCCAAGCTATAAAGGATATGTATGAAGGAGCAAAGACTGCCGTAAGAACTCATGAAGGACAAATCGAAAGCTTCCCCATAATTGTAGGATTACATCAAGGCTCGTCCTTAAGTCCTTACTTTTTTGCGTTGGTAATTGATGAGTTAACATGACATATTCAAGATGATATTCCTTGGTGTATGCTTTTCGCAGACGATATAGTGTTGATAGATGAAACTCAAGAAGGGGTAAATGCGAAGCTTAACCTTTGGAGAGAAGTGTTGGAATCTAAAGGTCTTCGCCTAAGCCGATCAAAGACAGAATATATGGAGTGCAAGTTCAGTGCAAATGGAGGCCAAAATGAGTTAGGGGTGAAGATCGGAGATCAGGAAATACCAAAGAGCGACCGTTTTCGCTACCTAGGATCTATCTTGCAAAAGAACGGAGAATTAGATGGAGATCTCAACCATAGAATACAAGCTGAATGGATGAAGTGGAAGAGTGCATCCGGCGTGTTGTGTGACCGTCGTATGCCACTAAAGCTCAAGGGAAAATTTTATAGGACGACAATAAGGCCGACGATGCTGTATGGCACAGACTGTTGGGCGGTGAAGCATCAACACGTACACAAAATGGGTGTAGTGGAGATGAGGATGCTTCGTTGGATGTGTGGGCACACGAGAAAGGATAAGATTAGGAATGAGGATATCCAAGGTAAAGTAGGAGTAGCCGAAATTGTAGGAAAGCTAAGAGAAAATCGGTTACGGTGGTTTGGACATGTGCAAAGAAGGCCTATTGACGCTCCGGTTAGAAGATGCGACTACGGGACAGAGGTTCAGGGCCAAATGGGTAGAGGAAGACCTAGGAAAACTTTGGAAGAGACTCTAAGAAAAGACTTAGAGTACTTGGATCTAACGAAGGACATGACACATGACCGGGCACAATGGCGTTCTAAGATTCATATAGCCGACCCCACTTAGTGACTTGGATTTTTCAAGTCTCTAACCGAGAAGTTTTCCTCACTCGGGAAATTAAGGGAATACTACCTCAACCTACATGCTCCACTCACAAAGCTTCAACATACAGGCTTCAATAAAAGAAAAATTCAAAGAACTTAGTGAAGAAGGCTTTGGTGTATTTAACACAATACGTTGAAATGAAGCAAAACCTATTTATTGATATCTCCGATAAGTTACAAATATGTACATATACATGAGTCAAAATAAACAAACAAGAGGGAGCCTTCACAAAGGTTGCTTAGGAGAAGTCTCAGCAGTCGGTAGAGCCCCAGAAAGAGAAGGCACCGGAGGGGGATCATTCGGAGCCTCAGTACTAGACAGAACCCTAGAAGGATGAGGCATCAGAGGTTAATCATTTGGAGCTTCATTACGTGGTACAGCCCCAGAAGACGAAGGCAATAAATGCCTTTGGAATAAACCACAAACCTCTGATGATCAAGTAAAATCTGACCATCAGATTCCTTTATCTGGTCAAGCTTCCTCTTCATGTTTGTAGCATAGTCATGTGCGAGCCGGTGCAACTGTTTATTCTCATGCCTGAGCCCTCTAATCTCCTGTTTGAGACTCATCACTTCAGTCGCCAATGATTCAACTTGGCGGGTTCGAGCAAATAGGCATTGGGTCATATTAGACACAAAACCTGCACACTGAACACTGAGAGCCAGAGAATCCTTAACAGCCAACTCATCAGACCGTTTGGAAAAGTCTGTTATCTTTGGGAGTGAGAAGGTTCTTGGCCACCACCGCAACGGTCATATCATTCTTCATCACGGAATCCCCAACGGTAAGAGAACCAGTAGGGGATAAGAAGGATGGGCTCCATATGTTGTCTGAAGAAGGTGTGGCTGCCTCTTCAACAAGGTTCAAGTCAAAACGACGGTCGGATGGGCCAGACATTTTCAAAGGTGTTGAAGAGAGAAGAGGTCGGACAAATCAAGATCTTAGAAGTGCAATAAGGGAGCTTCTACTGGTGGAGATTCAAGTGTGCTTTGGAACTTAATGCCAGCCTTTATAAAAATCTGCACTCGACGGAGCTTCAGAAATCGAAGAGGTGCCTGCTCAGAAATCGAAAAAGCGTTTGCTTTCTTAAAAGCTGGGCTGCTCAGAGACCATGAGGGCCGATCTTAGAAATCGAAGATGAGTTTGCTTTCTTAAAAGCTGGGCTGCTCAAAGACCACGAAGGCTGATCTCAGAAATCGAAGAGGCACTTGCTTTCTCAAAAGCTGGGCTGCTCAGAGACCATGAGGGCCGATCTCAAAAATCGAAAAGGCACCTGCTTTTTCAGCCTTGTCAGCACCTGTCACATGTACACTCAGCTTTGCGGAAATTACGGGCATTCTGTCGAAGATTTCTGGTGAAGTAGAAAGCACGTGAATCTTACTGTTCAATCATCCACTTTCCACACGCAACATCAGCTCATGGCTACCACATAACTTTGCCAAAGATCTCTGACAAAGTTTAGACACGTGAAGCTTGTAGCTTCCACTACATCGCTATGACCAAGAAAGGTAAAAGAATAGCAAAGAAACAGCACTAACAAAGTTTAGACATATAAATTTTGAAGGTCTAGCTACCATATTATTACCCACAAGGGTAAAGGAACAACACCACTGCTGGATAATTGGAAAGTCCCTGTATGTCAACCTCTATGCTCCGTGGCAAGGTAGACTAGCAAACATGCCCAACCTTTACTCACATTCGAGAAAACACTCCCAACAAGATTGCTTGCTTCAAAATCGAAGAGGCACCGTCCTCAGAATCTCTAGAGCCAGACTCCCAACATGATTACTTTCTCAAAAATCGAAGAGACATCGCTCTCTGAATCTTGAGAGCCAGACTCCCAGCAGGATTGCTTTCTCAAAAATTGAAGAGGCATCGTTCTCCGAATTTCAGGAGCCAGATCCCCGACAGGATTGCTTGTTCAAAAATCGAAGAGGCATCGCTTTCTCAACTTCGAGAGCCAGATCTCCTTGGATAAAGCTTGTCTGTAATCTTCACACGCAACATCAGTTTTCCAGATACCACATACCACTTTTTCAAGTTGCTCTGACAGAGTTAAAACACATGAAGCTGGCAGCTCCCACTATTGTGCTATGACCAAGCAGGGTAAAGGAATAACATTATTACTTGTTGTTAGGGAGACTCCTATATATGTCGACCTCCATCCTCAACGGGCAGGCAGACTTGCAAAAATGCTCAACCCTTTCTCATATCTGAGAGGGCACTCCCAACAAAGCCTCTCGAAATACTCAGCTTTCTTTCCCCCCGATAATACCTCTGCAGCTACACCAGAGCAAGAATATCTCATATCATCAGGGTTAAAAGCAAGAGTATCCCATATCATGCTTTTTTCCTGTTTTTTCCTTTGGCATTGTTCTTACCTGCAAGACAAGGAGAAAGAGAGCAATCAGTCAGCACTTGGAATCAAGCTTCCAGTCAGGAAATAACCGCCTAGAACCCCTTACCTGATTACTTACCTGGCATTGCTCTTAAGTACTCATCTTCAATATCTTATGCTTCCAGAGAAGATACCACATCTGCCTGAGGAACAGATAGGGCAAGTGAGAAGGATACAAGGAAGCATGTGGAGACAAGTGTAACAGACACG